TTTGTTTATATTAAATTTTTGAAATTTATTCAGTAAATTCGATACAGTGGTTGATTGGGATGTTTGTATTGCATTAAATTAGTATTAATTGTTAAATTTTACAAAAATATATGTGGCAAATTGAAATAACTTACAGTGATATTAGATAAATGATAACTGAAAAAAGTGAATGATAAATAAGGATGAGAAGAGATAATTCCAGAAAAAAAAAAAGAAAGTATTATTGACCATATGCCACATATAAATCATTTAATCATTAATAATCTACAAAGTTTTCTTACTACTTAAAACATGATGATAAATAAAGATCATAGCAGTTGTTCTTCCAATTTACTTCGAAACTGTTAAAACTATAAAACCTCTTCAATTATATAATGTCTACATCAAATAGCTATAGTAGGTAAATAATTGGAGAAAACTAAAAAAAAAAAAAAAAGAAGAAATTAATTAGTAATTGATAAATGGAACAGTTAATAATTAAAAAATTATAAACATTTACATTTTTTTATTTTTTGTTGATTTACAAATTTTTCGTTTTCTTCATTTCATTAGCATGGAATAAAATGAAAAAGAAAAAAATAAGCAAACAAAATAAATAAATGAATAATAAACAAAGAAAGAGAAACAACAATGATCATAAATAAAACCATTTCATCTCTTTTTTTTTGCTATTTAAAAGTTTTTAAAAGATTTAGCAAATTGAATAAGTAATGATATGAGAGAAATAGGAGGGAAAATGATGAGATAATAGAGAGATAAAATGAAAAAGGAAGGAAACGATGACAAAGTTTATGGGACCATTGTATATGAATGGAGGGAAGAATAATGGGATGAACCAGACGACCGCCAACACATTCCACACATTTTAAATACCACCGAAGCGACAGCAGTTAGTGTTCGTCATTGGTTCAAAGAACATAATTTTCCATTCTAACTAGAATTGATAAGATGGGCTGCATTCTGATATTGCACACACATACACACACGCACACATGTACATACACATACACACACGTAAACACACACACGCACACATGTACACACACATACACACACACACATACATACACACGTAAACACGCACACACATACACACACACACGTACACAGACGTACACACGCACATACACACACGTAACACACATATACAGACATGCATACACACACACACACACAGACGCACACGTGCACAGACGTACACACACACACACACACACACACATACATACAGACACACGTACAAGCATACACGTACACACGCACATATGTACACACGCACATACACGTACACACCCGCACACACACACACACACACACACACATACGTACACCATACCGCTACTAGTATCTACCAATCATTTCACAGTTGTCCACTCGAATGTAATCACAACAATTAACCATTATTTCTCTTCAATAGAAAATGCTTTAATTTTGTTCAATTATTTAGTAATTTTAATCAGAGGCTCAATCTAACAAGACGAATAAACTGAAAGTATAATATGAACATAGCTAAAATGTTAATGTTTTTTTTTTTAATCTTTAATCTAATAATTTAAATTAAAAAAAAAGATTATTCATTTGAGAATATTTCCATAACAAAATGGAAATTATTAAATTTATTAAATGATTAAATAAAAATTATTGAGGAATTCATCTATTATTTAGATATTTTTATTTGAAAATTTCAACAAATTGGATAGCAATACTGAAAGCATAATAGGAAATACAATAATTGAAATTAGAAATGAAAATTTTCAAAATAATAGCTTTCACACAACTTTAAACATTTTAACAAAATAATAACTTCAACCATATGAAATATAAAAATATTTTCAACTATCTAACATGCAAATATTATACTTATAAACGCTTGAGCTATCTCAAATAATGAAAATAGACTATCAATGTATGCACTGCTTTTCATTTCATTGATTTCAAAAAAAAAAAAAAAGATTTTTAAAATGAAAGCAATCAAATGGAAATAATTTGTCATATTCTTTTATTTCAATGCCATGAAGCAATATAGCAATCATCAAATTGTCAACTGTTTAGTAGTATCAAATGTCATAATTACCTTAAGTATAGCATTTGGATGATTAGCATTAAAACAAAAAGATTCGACAACTTATTTACAATTCGATTACTTCATATAGCTGCTTATTTTTATAAGGAAAATAAATTTAACGAAAGAAGAGAATAATACGATAATAATATACATTTTTATTATTATTGCATTATTTATTTGTTTATTTCCCTTCCCAGTAACATTCATTTAAATGGGCTGAAAAAGAAGCCAAATGAATAAAGAAGCCTAATTGAAATGAAAAACTTAAAACAAAAGAAGTGAATGAATAAATAAATTTATTGTGTCTTAATTAGATATAGCGGAGAGAGAAAAAAAAAGAAGTATGATGAAATAAATTAAAGTATATTCTACTGCATTCATATCATTTAGTATTTTTTCCAGCAAAATACTTTATCAGTGTTTTATTGATAATGAGAAAGTGTCGTTCGTTTAAATTACTGAAGTATTTTAAGATGACATTAAACCATTTTAGCAATTTAATTCGAATTAATTCAAGTATGCAAATCACATTTGAATGAGGTGATGAGTAAAAAATAAAAATAAAAAAATGTTAAAATCTGAGATACGATAACGAAATCAGAAATGAACGAAACATATTTTACTGCAATTACTGCTACTAATATCACCAATATTTACTGTTCACTGGAAGGAGGATTTAATTCATCAAATATATGTCATCTATTCGTTTTCATGATATATTAGAATAATACGACGTTGAGAGCGGAAAATTTGACATATTTTAGGCGATTTAAATCTTACATAATCTTTGTAATAATCATAATAATAATTATAATCATAACAATAACAATAAAAATAATAATAATCATAATCATGATAATAACAACAATGATAATAATCATAATAATAGTAACAATAATAATAATGATAATGATAACAATAATTAATAGTAGTAGTATTAATATTAGTAGTAGTATAGTAGTAGTAGTAGTAGTAGTAGCTGTAATAAATATAAGTTAGCCAATTTCGACTAGCGTGCGATCCTTTTTAAAGCTTTCCTAATTTTCAATAAACTAATACTTATATCTCTCTCTTTCTCTTTTACTCTTCTTCTCCCTCCCTCGCTTTTTCCTCTCTTTTCATATTGATATGAACGAATTTTATCGACATCTTGTTTAAAAAGGAGCAAAAACAAACAAACAAACAAACAAACAAATAAATAAATAAATAAATAAATAAATAAATA